GAAAGTCTAAGAAGTGGGAACAGTTGATGTGAGTGGGGCTGGGACAAAAGATGAGTAGGAAGATGAAGCAAGAAAAGTTAACGTTTTAGAGTCAGCTTAAAGATTAGAAAAAAGGAAAAGGTTCTGAAAAGAAGTAGCACTGAAAACGAAAAGGGGGTTAGGGTTAGGTTGAAAAGATAAGAGACATTCTGACATGGAAGAAAAAGAAGAGGAAGAGAAACGTTTCATCACGTCAGTAAAACACGCACTCATAAAGTAGCACATGCTTTAACACTGAAGTTCACAGACATGAGACTTAGAGAAAAGAAGCAGGGTCATATAAATAAGATAAAATAAAGAGGTATATGGGAGATAAGGTGGATAAACAGATTTCGAGAAAACTAAAAGCCAATAGAGAGAGAAGGGAGAGAGAAACTGAGGGTGATGGCGATATACCAGAAGAGAATAAGAGATAAAGAGGGAGAAAACTGAAACGAATGAAATAACAAAAAAAACTAAACCCATACCCACACCCATGCACAATAATCATTCATCAATCGGTAATCACATGTACTACAAAGGACAAGAATTACTGAAAGCAACAAAAAACAGGAAGTTGAGGAGAACCATTATCGCCCACGTCCTGAGGGGACACGGCACATAGAGACAGAGAGAGATGCATACACAAAACGCTCACATGCACACAAAAAATACATTCATTCACACACGCATGCACACACAAACGCACATTCACACAGATATCAATACAATACACATACAAAGAAAGCATCATTTTCATAATTTTTTAATTACAAATCAAGATTAATATATCTACAGCCCGTGCGTGTGATGACGTCACATAACGGCCCCGCAACAGAGTAGTTCTGACTTCGATACAACATCGATAGTTTTCATTACTGTGTTGTGTAGCAATTAAGCACCGTTTATATTCGCAAAATCACAGGTTTAAGTTTCACAGATTTTTAGAAGTATATGAGAATAGATGCGGACAGGGATGTATGAAAATTTTGCCTTAGTCTTGATTTCACTCAGTTGAAGCACTGGTGTTTAATTTTCTGATAAGCCAAAAGGCTAAGCCATTCACTCTAGCACTGTAGCAGTAGTTGTGGTGATGGTATGGCACACTGTCTCTTGTAGCTGGTAATTTGAAGCTTTATTTTTCTTCCAATTCTTCATAAGGACTGTAACATCAGTTATTCTACTATAACTGATGTCAAGTTACAATACATTCCTTATTTATTACCAATAATGAATGATGACAATCATGAGATCTTTAACTTGTTCATGCACCGATGTTTTTCAATCCTCGACTTAACATTCACTTTTTAAATTTTAGCATAGTTCGTAATGTTTTCTCTGAGTTTTATTTCTTTATCCGCGTCTCTTTTTCTCTCTAACACAGATGCACGCACATAATAACAGGTGTGAAGTGCACACATTCAAAAGATTGTTAGTATACTGTGTTTGTATTTAATTTTTGTACCTGTGTATATTTTGCCCACACATATGAGAGTTTACAAGAAAAATAGTTACACATGCATAAGTGTCATTTCCAGGTAAAGCGTCCATGCATCAGGTGCCTCTTACGCACACACTGATGATGGTACTTATGGACATCAAGCGTGTCTTTTTCTTTCTCTCTATCAAACGTACCTACATTAAAAAAGTACATATGCATGCATACTGACACAGACATGATTAAGTTCAGGTAAAACGTAAGGTGATTAATTTTGTCATGCGTTTTTTTTGGGGGGGGTTATCATGAATATTCAGAATCTGCGCACTAATTTATTCTGGAAATTCATTTTTTAGCCTTTAATTTGTAAATTGTATACTATTCACGTTCACATAAAAATGCCAAATAAATGTTTCTTCAAGCCACAAAGAAAGAGAATTATTCTTTTTTTTAAGAGACTCACTCTTTCTTTCCCCTTGCCTTGTACTGAACAAGATTTTTGACGCATAACAATCTTCTTGTACATTTAGTTTTTTAGCTCACACGTGGTATTTTTGTAAAATATAAGACAAAAAAAGTAAAAAAAAAATAGTAACTGGTAGTTTCATGCCTCAAATAATATAACTATCTATATCTCTCGAATTTCTCTTTCCTTCTTCTTTTCTCACGGACATAATCATTTCACTCTTCTTCTTCATATGATTCATATGCAACACATCTCTCACATTCATTACTACGTTCTCCTGAGTTTATGCTGAACAACAATCAGCAATAAGAAAGAATAGAGAAAGAGGTTAAAGAAAGGAAACAATGGAGATGAAAGCAACATATTTCAACTTCAGTTTAAGTTAACGATGCAACTGAATTTTAAATTCACACTGAAAAATTACAAGCAGCTATTCTTTTTTGTGTGTGTCAATGGAAGCAAGTGGTGAAAAAAAGCCCAGATCGTTTGTCCCCTAACACATTCTACAGATTGCTTTTTAGTTTTGAAATGGGTTCTTGAACTAGAATTAATTAGTTATCTTTATTATTGGTAATCTGTTTGTTAATAATCTTCTTGGCTTTAGGAAAACTTTTCATATTCACTGCAATCAGATCAGTCGATTTCTTTGTATTTTAGTTTTTAGTGTCACAGTAACTATTCATAAAAAAACAGACTGAAATGTGAAATAGATGTCTTCCCTTTGGTTTTATAGACGAGCATGATTTCCTCGAAGATACATACAATTGCTTCACTTTACATAAAAAATGGACGTGTCTTCTTTTTCGTACACACACACACACACACACTAATCAAAACACGTGCACACTTGAGCACAAAGTGTTGTTGTAAGCTTCCAGAGAGACAACCTCTTCTTGTCAGTGGTTGTGATCAACATTTTCTTTTCCACGGCTGTCGTGATCTGTTAAATAATGCTGTTACACAATTTATTTTAAATGTTAATGAACATACGAGTAGCAGACTTAAATGTGAGGTAGTGTCAGCTACCACAGAAGACGCAGTAGTTTACCAATTGCCTACTCCATAAATTCGAAATACTTGTGTTTGTTAACAACTGTCTGTCGTCAGTTCACGATTCAACTCTCAGCTTGTAATTTCTGCGTGTTATAGGAAAGTAGTATGTGTATTTTTCAGCACGTACATATGCAGATGTACGTACGTACCACTACCACTACTAGTCAGTCACATGTAGGGTGTGTCACCGAATTGTCTCTCACTAAGTACATAATGTGCATTCACAGATTCATGTGTACAGAACTGGTGTAGTGTACCGTACACATGAATTTGCTGAGTGCACACTGTTGGTTGACTGTACGTACTGTGTAGAGACTTTTTTTTATATTTCAAATAAAAATGCATATCTCTTCTTAATCCTAAAACTAGGTAAAAAACAGTTTCTACGTAAAAAAATATACTTTTTAAATTTAAAGAAACACCTTCATCTCTAGCAGTTCAAGTTACACTTCAAGACATTTAAAAAAAAAAGTAAAAACAGTAACACTCACTAACACTAGGAAGAAACAGATAGTGTTATCATCTCTCAGTGACACAGACTTTATTTTTAAAAATAAGCAGAGTAAGACTTACAGATAGGTACATAATGGATACTTGATTTAACGGATTATTTATGAGTGAAAGAGAGGGGGAGAGCGAGAGGGAGATTAACAGAAAGTGAAAAATAGGTAGCCTAATGAACGGCGAGTTTGACGGCAGACTCCAGAATTGTACCAAACATCTCTCTCTCTCTCTCTCTATATATATATATATATATATATATATATATATATGCATAGACAGAGTTTGTGCCAAATTAAGCTAAGAAGTCTCCTTAAAGGAGAAAATAGTAATATTCCGAATAAATTGACAGATTAAAAAAGCACAAACCAACATGATACCATCTATGCACACATGCAGATAGATAGATAGATAGATAGATAGATAGATAGATAGATAGATAGATAGATAGATAGATAGATAGAAATTTGACAGTAAATTAAAGTGTGATTCAGAAAATAAAAAGTAAAAACAATCGCAAAAAAGAAAGAGAACGCGATGGGTCTTTTTTTTAAGTCGATCGAATGAATGAATGGCCAGATAAACAGGTTCATTGCAGCAAGCAAATACTTTCTGAAATCAATGGTCGAAGTAGTCATAGACTAAGATATGATTAAAAATTAAAATGAAGCTTATCAGTACAGAGTACTCTAATGGGGAAAGAATGAGAGAAAGAGAAAGTGAAATAAGAGAAAAAGAAACCATTCTATCACCCTGTCCTCGTTATTCGCAACACTTTTTTTCTTTAGTCTTACGAACTATGTTCCAAGATAATTATTTTTATGATTTATCCCTTGTTTTTGCAATATACAAGTGTGTGTGTGTGTGCATATATATATATATATATATATATGTGTGTGTGTGTGTGTGTGTGTGTGTGGAGTTGTTTGTTAAAAAAAGGAGGTCGCCTTGATGTGAAGAGTGGAGAAAATGAGGAATCCTGCATGATTGGATGTATTGAAAAATTGCAGTGAGCCATTAGTTACAACCTAGCGAAGGAAGAGAGAAATTGAGAGTGGAGAGGTAAGAAAAAGCACAAAGAATGAAGGGTAGGAACTAAACAGGGATATAGTTGCAAAGGGAGTAGAAGACGATGGTGATAGGGAAAGAGATATAACCAGAGTGATGGTGGGTGTGAGGTGTGCAGAGAGTAGTGGTTGATAAGCAGAGTCAAAGAAAGAGGAGCAGAAAGTCGATAGAATGATAGCAAGTGAGCGAGGGGCACCAGTAGAGAGGTACTTGCATTGTAGTGAGTGAGTATCTCCCCTTCCCGGCACCGTTTCCTGTAGTAGCAAGAGTTCTGACCGCCGTCGGACGGAACATTACATACCTAAAGGATTTCAGTAGAACGAAATACAGCGCTTCTTACGCCAAAGTAGTACTTTTTTTTTTTAATTTTAAACCCTCCTGGATTGTATTTATTAGCAGTTTGCACGTCGTTGGATTTACGTCGAACCGATCTGGCTAGCCAAAATGGGTTGTACAATGAGTGCCGAAGAAAGACTTGCTCTGGAGAGGAGTAAGGCGATTGAGAAAAATTTGAAAGAAGATGGCATACAAGCCGCTAAGGATATTAAATTGTTGCTATTGGGTGAGTGCCGTAGTTTCATTTTCGTGCAACCCCGTGTTCTCTTTTCATTCAGCTCTTTAGCCTTTAACTTTTTAAACCTGACCGAGTTATTTAGTTATTTATTTGTATATGAAGCATAAATTTTGTAATATTAGTGAAGTGATTGTTCCAGTCAGCCATATTTGATCGGATACTTACTTCCCATCCTTAACCCTCGACATTTCATCATCATCAGCAGCAAATGAATGTTGATAATTGATAATAAAATCAGCTTTAAATATTCAATATTTTCTCTTCTATTCTTATTCCATTACTCTTCTTAACCGCTTTATTATTTAAAGATTTCTTCACATTTTTTGTCACTTTCTTACATCCGCCATCACATTTTTAATTTTAGATTCTATTTTTTCTACCTCTTCCCTATCATCACATATCCATTTATATTTTTTACAAAAATGTACGTTCATTCATACATAGACATACACAAGGATCTCTCTCGTGTGTGTATATATATATATATATATATAATGTTTGTCACTATAATGATGTTTTAGTTTTTTTGTGTTGTAGATGTAGAATGAGAATGGTTTTTTTTTTTTTTTTTTTTTTTTTTGCTGAAAAGTGGTTCTGTGATTAACCACCGTTTTCATTTTCCTACAACTATTTCTTTATATTTTTCTTTCATTATCGGTACATTTCTCTACCTTCAAAATTCTTTTACTAAATAACTTGAAAATTTTTATCAATGCTTCTTTCGGTTTCTTTTCCTTCTCTCTGAAAATGTAGTAAATTAATTTTAAAAATATAATAATTTACCCCATATTTTTAAACTTAATGATTTTTTTCTTTTCTATACAGGTGCAGGAGAATCAGGCAAAAGCACTATAGTTAAACAAATGAAGTAAGATCTTTTTCCCTTTTCTTTTCCATATCTGCATCATTTTTTTGATGAAGATTAAAGAAAAATTCAACCTCCAATTCATTAATTGATCATTCACGTAAATTATAAAGGTCTTATTTCTTAGAGCTGATTGGTATTATGAAATGTATGATTTAAAAATCAACCCAACTAGTTTTTACCAGATGTTAAAAAAACAAAAAACGGAGACTGTTTTCCAGGAAGTTATGTAGTAACATTTTTTGTTAAATTATTGTATTGGTGTTCTGTTCATTAAATAAATTATACTATTAAATTTAAAAAGTAGTATATTTTTCTGTAACATTTACTTAAAAAAATATCTTCCAAAAGTACTAAAGAAGGAATGCAGAATAAATTATTAAAAAAATCTCGGGCTGTCATGTCTGGTTTCAAAAACCTTTTTAACGTGAGCAACAGTACCTTATGACCCTATTTTTTATCCACACTGTTAATAGTATTAAAAGAAAAAAATGTTATTAAAGCATACCAACCGGAACCAATGTTTTTTTTTTTTTTTTCTTATAAAATGCTAAAAAGTCTAAAACCATTCTTCTTCACCTCTGTAGCGACTACTACTTGTAGTTAGTAGATCACTCTGCTTCCTTCTGTTATTGCTTTTACTATGAAAACTCGATAGTATTGCTACTGCTTACTTGTAGATTAGCTTCACTATGGTTACTTAACGTTAGCAAATATTATTAAAGCGAGAATAAATAGAATATCTTGTTTTTTTTTTTTTTGTTTTTTTGGATTTAGTCCATGGCATAAGCCCTACTTAAAACCTGATTATTAACGTCAAAATAACAAATTTAGTTGCAAGCAATAAAAAATGAAATGCTAATCCACCGACTAATTATGGGGATTAAAAGGATTTATGCTTTTTTTAGTATGATAATCAAGAGGAATAGGATTAAGTACACTACAACAATCAAAACCTTTTCGATAAATACTGATTTCAACATTTGTGTGAAAGAATTTAAATTTTGAAAATCTAAATTATTTCTGTTAGCTTTAAAATTGTTCGATAAACATTTATTTTTAAAAAAAACAAACAATGTTTTTGGGGTTTTTTGCATATTTATTTGTAAAGGCTAAAAAAAGAATTGTTTTTATTGCTTGATTTTTTTTTTTCTAGTATCTCATTTGATTTATATTTATATTTTTACTTGCCTTTTCAATTTTTTTCCGAATTTCAACAAAAATATATTTCTGTTTCTAGCTGGGCAAGTAAAATCAAGCATCACCACTTGTTGAATTTCTTTTGATTTCTTTTTTTGTTTTTTTAATCAAATGATTCGTCTTATTTCTATTTGTAGTATAGATTTGCGTGTGTAATAATGACATGTGCATTGCTGTGTTATTTTAATTTTATCGATGAAAATGTTAATTTCTGTATCGTTTGAAAATCGTTTTTCTGATGTTTATCTTCAAAGAATGTGACGACTAAAATTACTTCTCACATTTTTCTACATGACTCCCCTTCCTTCAAAAATAATCCTCGTTGTCTGTTTTACTTTTTAGATACATATCGCGCCTCCATATGACTATTTTTTTTAAGGGGAATCATGTTTAGTTTATGATAAAATATTGGATTATTGGCATTTCATTTGACAAAAATTAAAACGTCTTTCCTTTCTGAACTTTTTGGTGGATGAACTCTTAAACTCTTAACATAAATAAACGATCTCCCATTGTTACCAATTTCTTCTTGAAGCCCACCGTATGTTTGGCGACAATATTGTAATATTAATAATATGCATAGTTGTGTAACTGTTTTTGGTGTTTTACCTTATTTTTCCTACTTGTAACTTGTTTCAGGCTTTTTGTGCATTTTCACGACAAAGTGCTGAGTTCATTTTTCTTTATTGCTTTTTTAGTCACACCTCGTTTGATTTGTCTATCTCACTGCAGCAATCATCACTTTGATTCGTATTGTTTTTTCTTGCACTGCTTATTCTCTCTGAAGTGTACCTCCCATCTCTAACCCTACCACTTGGGGGTAGGATTTCTTTCTCATCCCTTAGCGCTGGTGGGTGATCGTGCTGGCGCGTGCCTTCGTCTGTTCAACCCATTTCCTCTTATTCGTAGTCTTCCTCTTTCACTCCTTTTCTTCATCTCTCCATTCTTTGGTTTGCCTCCCTTAGCTAAGATCAACTTTATCCCTAACATCACATATATTAAAGATTGTGATGATGATGATTCACTACTCCCACCTTTCATCCATAATTTTATGAATGGGTCTCTTTTGCTTCGCAGCTCCCCCTCTTATCCATTTTGCCTTCAAGCTGTCCCTTTATCTATGGCAGAATCATAATTTTATAATCACATTCGCATTGTTTGTTTGCTTGCTTATCTCGATTTTCATAAATTATACTTATTGGCTCTCTAGCTGTTTATATATTCAATATGGAGGTTACTACTAGCACTTCTACTATTACTACTACTATCTTGTTGCAGCAACCTTTTTCTCTATACACACATAATCGCAGCTTTTATTTTTTTACAGATTTACTTTCCATTTTTGTCTAATCTTCCCAAATTCTAGTGTTTGCTTCTCGCAGATTTCCCCTTCTTATTCACTTAGAATGTTTACTTTACACATGTGTTTTTGATACCATTTATTTAATTATCCCTTTCTCTACTAAACTTCGACTCTTAAAAATACCATTGTTACTTCTCTTCTTCCCGGTCTTTCTGTCTGTGGTTCTCCTCCGCCATAACTCTTCCAGTTTTCCTCTTTATAATAATTTAGCTAACCTTCTTGATAAATATGTAACATTAACAATGTAGTCTTAGTTTCCCTCTCGATCAATGCTATAGGTTGTGTGAAGAAATATTTGACTTTTAGCTCCTGATTTACATTTTTTGTCATATATCCCCTTGCCTTGGGGTTTCGTTTTTAAGTAGCATCAATGAGCCGACTGATGCAGATGAAAATTTTAAAAATACCTGCTCAAGTTTTAGAAAACTGCTCCTTTGGTTTGAAATTGGGATATGTAAAGAATTGATTTTTTAAAATTTTTTTGTGATAACCACAACTGCTATTCTTTTGAAAAGCTTCAGCAATCTAACATGTTGATCTATTTCTGTTGTTCTTTGCCTGAAACAGTTACTTCATTTCAATTTGTCAAATTCAGTTTTCTAAATCGCGGATTAATTATGAAATCCTTTCCGATGTTAATTTATAATTTTATTTTTTTATCTTTTCACCTTTACCGCCCACAAAAACGAGAGAACTATGTATTAAAAAAAAAATAACTTATTGGATTTTAAAATCTTATTTTAATTTTTTTTTTTTCTACACGAAATTTATTAAATTTTTATTTTTTTTTTTTTTTTTTTTTTTTTTTTTTTAAACGTAACACTTATTGGGCCAATAATTATATAAAATAAAATGAAAAAAATAAAGATGAAGGCTGTTCCTGAATTTAATTTTGGTAATTGATTACCTAGTTTTGTAATCTAACACCTGTCATGATAAGCCCACTTTTAGTTTTAGCAAAACCAAGTCCGTTCAAGATAGCAAACACCGCCACCGTTGCCATTGCCGTGTAAAAGATTTATCCAAGAAAAAATCTATTGCTTTATGGAAAATTTTGGTTCATTGTGATTTAATGACTTATTTATTGCTGAGATTTAGCAGTCCATTCCTTCGAAGTTTAGTTTTTAAAAAAAGTGAATTTATTCCAATTTTTCAATTTAATTTTTTGATCTTATCCAACAAAAATCTTTAAAATATACCTTCTTTCCTTTCCCTCTTCAAATAGACATGGCTGCTTCCATAAACTGCCTGTTTTCAGAACATTGAGATGATTGATTACTCAAAAACATGCTCTTGAAAATGTAATAAAAAAATAAAAATGGTCTTTGGTACTAATTTTGATTTTTGTTACTTATATTTTTTAGTCGTGCGCACACAGAATCTACCTATTCTACTCTTTATTCACTTCCTTGTTGGTCAGCAACTTACATTTTCTAGATGTAACTTTGAATTAATTTTTTTCAAAATTACTTTTATTTTGATTTCGAGCTTAAAATTGTTTTTTAATTGTTCTACATAACTTTGTTTTCAGAATTATGATATTTTTTAGTGCTATTAAAATAATGATCATATTTCATAAATCAAATTTAGTTTCATATTTTTAGAATTGCAGTGTGGGCATTTGCTTTTAGTGATTTAGTGAAAAATCATTTTAAATTTGATCTTATTTGAACTTTTTGTACATGTTTCTTTGTGGATTATAAATTCTAAAAATAAATCCTAAACCCAGACACTTCATGTGTTTGCAGTTTTAAAATGTACAATTCCTGAAAGTTACTTATCTAATGTACTTGTTAACTTATTACTATCAGATTTGAATATAGTTTATTCTTGAATCAATGTATAATATTGTCTTCATTTCCAACTTGCTAATGTTTTACTACTGGATGCCTTTCTTGATACCAATTTATTTTAGACTGTTGTTTGGCATGAAATCTGATTTAAATTAACGATTATATTGTAGTGTGTGGTTTTACTTCTATAGTACAAATGAATTTCTGCAATGTCTCATTTTAAAATTTTAGCAATATACATAAATTTAAAGTTTTTGCTGATTGTAATTTGAATTTTAAGATGAAGAATTTCATATTTCTGGTATTTTCTTTTAAAAATATTTTTGGATTTTTCATAGAAATTACTAATTTTAAGTTTGTCATGGTGTTTTTCTTGCAAATTAGGAAAACTTTAAAAATTATTTAAAATTTTTATTACAATTTTTTTTTTTTTAAATAGTTTACTGTTAATACCTTGTTTCATTGAAATACTAACAAAACCACTCGGTGTGTGTGCGTGTTTATATACGTACATGTATTTTGCATATAAAATGCTGACATTTGTACTTTTGAAAAAAACATTGCATAGAAATTTGGAAATTCAAACCTCTGTTTTTTACTTCTATAAGTTTTTAATTTTTTTTAAATAATTGACTCTCTAGCATGATTTGTTTATTGCCCTTTCCTTTGACATGATCCTGTCAAGATTTTCACTTAAGCAATTACACAAAACCACCTTAAGAGAGGAAAATACTAAGTAAACAGAATTTATTAAAATATCTACTCAGGTATTGCTCTCAGGTAAAATTCATAGTCTCGTACAAAATATTAAAACTAAATGTACCCATTATTACCCCTATCTTCAAAAATTTGTTTTTAATGTTTTTTTATATTTTTAATCAATTCAACCCCTAGCTCAAATTCTTGCCACAGTAAAGCTTGATTTGTGTGGAAAATGAAAACATTTAAATAAAAATAGATTATGTGAGTTTAGGACTAGGAGTATCATTGAAACATGGTTTTTAAAAATGCTTTTTGTCTTATGTATGTCACCAGAATAAATTTTAATTTAAAATATATTCTACTGCTTAATTATATACTTAAAATATCATCTGCTATATATGTACTACTGGAAATATTCTTGATTTTTGAAACCATTTTATCTATCATTACTCAACTGGTTTTAAAAGTTCCCAAGCTGTACTCAAAATGGTTAGAGCAAGCAAAAAAAAAAAAAAAGAAAGAAGTGGAGTGAGCAAATGAATGTTATGGCTGATGAGAACTGTTTCTATCAGTTGAATAACAATTCTCATTATACTTGTTGCTCTCCCAGTATTAAAAATGTGTGCTAAAATTCCGTGCAATCAGTTTTACTTATTCTGGTCCGGCCATAAATGGCCTTTTCTAAGAGATTACATGACCGTAATAGTTTTCTAGGTTTCATCTTGTTTCTGCAAAAGTCAGAAAGTACGTTTGTAAGTTGACAAAATGTACATTATGAAATCTCCACAAAACTGATTTTATTTAACTCTTTCCGTTTCACAGCCTTACTTGAGTAAAGTAGAATACCATCATCCCCAAATGCTATGATGAATTTTATTGGGGTTTGCCTCCCTTTTAAGCCAGCAATATACTAAGTTGCAACATATCATCATATAACAATTATGTTGGCATTGAGTCTGAAAAGTAGCTTGATAATTCATTTGGTAGTAATACTGAAATGTCTTATCAATTACTCTTCTAGTAGGTTATATTGGATGTATATTTACTATTTATATTTATTAACTGGAATCAGAATTGCAATAGGTTTTGGGTATTCATTACACAACTTCCAATCATCATAATAGGATGACTGTCTTGCAAGTTTGACAAAACCAATTGGATATTGATCTTAATAATAGAAATTCACAAATGTTCTAATGTTGCTTTAATTATGGTGCAGTACTTTAATCAAATGTTTTTCTTTCTTACTGCAGTCTATATATTTCTCTCCATTCAGCAGTCATATTGGATATCGTCATCTTCATACATACCACATCTTACAAGGTCATTAATTGTATTTTAGATATATTTATTCAGTTTTAACATAGCTTTTATTTCTTAATAGATAACTGTTGTAATTAAAGATGAAAATGCATCTTTAAATAATTTCAGTTCTAATTAAAATAGATTTATATTTGTTCTCATTCTTATAAACTCTCAAAAGAATTTTGTTCAACATTTTGTAAGATTTTAACCAATGGTTGCTCTAAGTTTCAAACTCTAAAATCTTGTGTGCATACTATGAATTTTGTTTTAATTATACATTTCTGCTAGTTTTCTTTTATTTGATATTAAATAAAATGATGGTTAAAATTGGCCTTTTTTTTTTCTTTTCTTTTTTTCTTTGTACCTGTTTTCATTTGTAAATGAAATGTATTTTTTTTTATTTTCTAAATAACAATCTGATATATTCTTAATCATTATAGTTATAATCATTATTATATCATTTTTTTAAACTGTATTAAGTACACTTGTCTATCTAGAAAATAAGTTTTCTACTTGTCATCATACAATACTTTCTCAGCAAAATAACCAGAATATTATTCAATATAAACCAACTATGACTTCATTTTGTTTATTTATTCAATGTTATATCTAAAGTGTACTAGCTGATGTGTAATTTAGAAATACTCATTTTCATCTATATTAAATTGGCACCAAATCTTCTAAAATCAGCTCATCTATACATCATTTCTGAACTTTTGTGCTTGTTTATCTAATACATGCTTCTTGTGCCATTAGTTACAAAAGGTCATCAGTAATACATCATTAATGTTGATACTGTTATTAAATGCAACTTTAAAATATATTAAATTTAATGACTGATATAGTCTATGGATGTGCAGGTACTATATTTGTTATTGACGTGGAATTGGTAAAGTCTTTTGTTCACTTCACACTAATGCCCTTCCAAAAGGCATTAATTCATTTTTCCAACTCCCTGCTATGGATAAACTT